TATGGTATTTTTGTTGAGTATAAGAAGAAAATCTGGCCTCACGTAGGTATGTAGTTTTAACAAGGGGAAAATGTTTTATTAGCTTTTTCCGATGGTTGTATATATTTTTCTTTGATACCACACCAGAACTTAACAAGTAGTAATTTTTAAAAAATATATATTTTATTGATTTTGATACAGAGAGGAAGGGAGAGAGATAGAGAGTCAGAAACATCGATGAGAGAGAAACATCAACCAGCTGCCTCCTGCACATCTCCTACTGGGGATGTGCCCGCAACCCAGGTACATGCCCTTGACCGGAATCAAACCCGGGACCCTTCAGTCCGCAGGCTGACGCTCTATCCACTGAGCCAAACTGGTTTTGGCAACAAGTAGTAATTTTTAAAAACATAGTTGCAATGTGGAATCTGAAACCAAATCAGTGACCGTTTCATTTAAATTCTTTGGCTGGTCATGTGCTCTTTTAATGAATCACTTGCCCATCATGCATAGGTCATTTGGAAAATATTAGTTCATTGAGTTATGCAGATCTTCCCAATGTTGTCACATTTCCTTATACAACACATTTTAAAAATCACATTGATAAATATATGAGACAACAAAAACAAAAACAAAAAATGAGCCAAACCCAGAGACGTTTCTTGACCCTGAGGTCCTTGGAAGTTCAGTCTTCTCTCCACCTTTTAGATTTAATAAATGTTCTATGTAAAATGTTTAGAGTTTTTAGTGTTTCTTCTTGGGAAGAAAAAGGATTTATACTCCATCTTTCCAGAAGCAGAAGTCAAAGTAAATTTTTAATTAATCCTCACCCGAGGATATTTTTCCATTGATTTTTAGAGAGAGTGGAAAGGAGGGGGAGAGACAGAGAGAAACATTGACATGAGAGAAACATTGATTGATTGCCTCCTGCATGTGCCCAACCAGGACTGGGGATCAAGCTGCAACTGGTACGTGCCCTTGACCAGATTGAACATGGGACCCTTCAGTCCAGGGGCTGACACTCTATCTACTGAGCCAAACCTGCCAGGGCCAAAATAATTTAAAAAAGTGAATCAAGCAGTGTCACTCCCCTGCCTCAAATTTAACAAGGGCTCCCCAGTGCTATTAGAATAAAATCCAAGACTCTTACTGGTCCATCAGGACCTCACATGGCTTGGCCCCGCCTATTCTGACACACCTTACACCACCTCCCCGCCCCTCACATGCCCCAGCCTCATTGGCCTCCTCTCTGCTTCTGGAGCAGGTTGCTTCTCATTCAATGAGACAGTATCCTGCAGTGGTTGTAAGCAAGGACTCTGGTGCCAGAGGCACTGTTGTAGGTGACTGTGTGACCTTGGGCAAGTCCCTAGCCTCTTTGCGCCTCTGTTTCCTCATGTGTAACATGGGATTGAGAATACCGCCAATGGTATTGAGTACAGTTGTATGAGTACAGTTGTTGAGGATATTAAATGGGTTAATACATCAAAGTCCTTAAATGTATTCTGAAGTCCAGCACACAGGAGACGCTCCATAGATATATGAGCTAAATCGAGGACGTCACTCCCCTGCTTTTGCTTTGCTCTTCCTGCTGCCTGGAATACCCTTCCCACAGCTTCTTTTTCACAAGACAGCCTCAGTTCAAATGCTACCTCTGAGAGAGGCCTTCCCTGACCACTTATCTAAAGTAGCTTCCATTTCTCTAAAGCCTATCTTTCTACCATGGCATTTTTTATGACCTGCAACATCTGGCTAAGTGATTCCTTGTTTACTGTTGTCTCCTTCCAATGTGGCTGGGCCTGTGCGGGGCAGAGCGGCGGTGTAAGGTGTGTCAGGATAGGGAGACATAGGTTCACGAGGGGAGGGAGGCCTTGTCTCTCTTTCCTGCCTTGTCCTCGGAGCCCAGACAGTGGCACAGGCTCTCGGTACATTTTGAACAGATGGAAGAATTCAGGTTGTTTACAGTTACACACTTACTGCCAACAGTGCTACAGTAGACATTATTGGAGTTAAATTTTGGTTTACATTCTTAACATGTTTTTATTTTTTTAGGATGAACTTTCTCCAGTGGAAATGCAAATTGCCTTTCAGAGAGATGTGCTCATTTATAGTCCTACCAGGGTCCCTGGAGTGTGCTGGCCGTTTGCACCTTCAACTTGGGGCTTTCGGAGAGAAAAAAGCAAACTTTAACCTCCCCTGCTCAGCTGTGTAGCTCACTGGGTGAGCGTCGACCCATGAACCAGGAGGCCCTGGGTTCGACTCCTGGTCAGGGCACATGCACAACTTGTGGGCTCGATCCCCAGTAGAGGGCATGCAGGAGGCAGTTGATGGATGATTCTCATCATTGATGTTTCTATCTCTCTCTCCCTCTCCCTTCCTCTCTGTAAAAAATTAATAAAAATATATTTAAAATAAATAAATAAAATAAAAAGACCCTTGAGCCCTAGCTGGTTTGGCTCAGTGGCTAGAGCATTGACCTGTGGCCTGAAGGGTTCCAGGTTTGATTCCGGTCAGGGGCACATGCTCGGGTTCCAGGCTCGTCCCCAATAGGGGGCGTGCAGGAGGCAGCCAATTGGTGATTCTCTCTCATCATTGATGTTTCTATCTCTCCCTCTCTCTTCCTCTCTGAAATCAATAAAAATATATTTAATAAAAAAGACCCTTGATTTAAAAAGAAATAACCTCTCCTTTATGCTTCCAGCCCAGCCATGGGCAAACTACGGCCCGCGGGCTGGATCCGGCCCGTTTGAAATGAATAAAACTATTGAAAAAAAAGACCGTACCCTTTTATGTAATGATGGTTACTTTGAATTTATATTAGTTCACACAAACACTCCATCCATGCTTTTGTTCCGGCCCTCCGGTCCAGTTTAAGAACCCATTGTGGCCCTCGAGTCAAAAAGTTTGCCCACCCCTGTTCCAGCCTCTAAACAAATACCTAAGATCTTATATACTTTGTGGTAAGCACTCAGGCTTGGTGGTTAAGTAGCTTCGCCAAGGTCACCTGTGGTAAACAGCAGAGTTGGGATCCTGACTCAGCAGTTTGGCTCTGGACTCTGCTCTTGACTGTCAAGATGTCCTTTTTCTCTGTATGTCCCTCAGTGACTCCTGGGCACGGGACATTGGAGAACTGATGCGCCCAGGCTGAAGGGAGACACAGCAAACCCCAGCTGGGTGAAGAGCTGCAAGAGAGGTGGGCAGGGGGAGGGTCAAGAAGCAGGGGACACTAGTTGGGGCAGGGGCTCCTGCCTCCAGAGCTCATCTGCCATTGTGTTTCCTCTGCAGTTTCCAGTCTAATCTCCCTGCCTGGCTCTGCAATCCCGAGTTCAGTCTCTGGAACTTTGCCTGGTGAGTGTGAACTCGAGTGGATCTGCTCAACGGGATGGGTGGGTGCCAACAGGCTCTGCTGCTGCTTTTTTTTTTTAATTGATTTTTTTTTCTTTGCGAGAGAGAGAGGGATATGAACACTATTTGTTGTTCTATTTGTTATGCATTCACTGGTTGATGCATTTATTGGTTGATTCTTGTATGTGCCCTGCCTGTGGATGGAACCGCAATCTTGGAGTAAGGGGACGGTGCTCTAACCCAGGGGTCCTCAAGCTATGGCCCGCGGGCCACATGCAAATACAAATATTGTATTTGTTCCCGTTTTGTTTTTTTACTTCAAAATAAGATATGTGCAGTGTGCATAGGAATTTGTTTACAGTTTTTTTTTAAACTATAGTCCGGCCCTCCAACGGTCTGAGGGACAGTGAACTGGCCCCCTGTTTAAAAAGTTTGAGGACCCCTGCTCTAACCAATTGAACTCTCCAGCCAGGGCAAGATCTGTTTCCTAAGAAACCCAAGAAGGACTTTTCCTGCAAGGTGTGATTACAGGCCGCCTGCTCCCTCAGAGGTCCCGGCTTCCACTGCCCTAGGTTCAAAATCCTGCATCTGTGCTAATGGTTCCCCAAATGCCTGCACCCTGCTCTTCCCTGCTGCCTCTAGGCTCAAGTTTGATTTCTCATCCTGTGTTTCCAAAGCAATGGTTCTAATTTGTTCACACATAAGGATCACTTCAGGGGCTTATTGAAAAGGCAAATCTCAGATAAGCTGGGAAATTTGAACACCAACGGGATATTTGATATTAAGGACTTATTGTAGAATTTTAGGCGTGACCCTGGTATTATATATAGAGTTGTCCCTTGAGCAACATGGGCTTGAACTCCATGGGTCCATTTATACATAGACTTTTTTCAGTAAATGTGTACAGTACTGTAAATGTATTTTCCCTTCCTTATGATTTTTTTCCTGAGGATTTTTTTCCATTGATTTCTAGAAAGAGTGGAAGGGAGATAGGAGGGGGAGAGAGAGAGAGAGAGAAACATCAATGTGAGAGAGGCACATTGATTGGTTGCCTCCTGCATGCACCCCTATTGGGGCTGGGGAACCTGCAACCAAGGTACCTGTCCTTGACTGGAATCGAACACTTGACCCTTCAATCCGTGGGCTGACACTGTAACCACTGAGCCAAAGAGGCCAGGGCTGATTTTCTTTTTCTTTTTTTAAAATTATTTATTGATTTTAGCCCTAGTTGGTTTGGCTCAGTGGATAGAGTGTTGGCCTGCAGATCAAAGGGACTCGGGTTCGATTCCAGTCAAGGGCACATATCTCTGGTCAGGTCCCATGTAGGAGGCAACCAATCGATACGTTTCTCTCATATCGATGTTTCTATCTTTCCCTCTCTCCCCTCTCCCTCAAAATCAATGGAAAAATATCCTCAGGTGAGGATTAGCAACAACAACAAAAATTATTTATTGGTTTTAGAGAGAGGAAATAACATTTTTTTTTTTTACATAATGAAAGGTATATTTATTTTCTTTACATTCAATATTATTTTGTATTAATTTCAGGTGTACAGCATAGCAGTTAGATAAAACATTTTCTTTTCTCTAGCTTATTTTAGTGTAAGATTATAATGTATGATACATATAATACAAAATATGTGTTAATCAACTGTTGTGTTATTGATAAGGCTTCAGGTCAATAATTCTGGGGAGTCTAAAATTATATGCCAATTGTCAATTGCAGGGTAGGGGGAGGGGAAGAACAGAGAGGTTAGCACCCTAACCCCTGAGTTGTGTGTGTCTAAGCACATACATAAGTGAATTAATCCTTATCTTTTAGAGATACATACTAAAATATTTTGAAAGAAATAATATGATGTATGGGGTTTGCCTTAAAATAATCTGAGACAGGTAGAAGCATATAGAGGATATAAAATTGAACAATTATTGAAGCTAATTGGTCTGTACATGGGGTTCCTCATACTGTTCCCTGTACTTTTGCAGATGCTTTAATTTCTCCGTAATAAAACGTAAAAAAAAATGCCCCCAAACTAGAAAGCACCCCTCAGTCTGGACTACGCTTTGCAGGTACCCCAGGTGGGTGCATGTGGGGATCTGTCCACCCCACCTGGAGAAACTGCTCTCAAAGCTGGGTAATGTGAGCTCAGGTGGTCCCATCCTTGGACCAGGAGAAGTGCATCAAATTGGCTCACTCGTCTGCTCTTTACCCCTCCACCAAACAAAAGAGAAAGACATGATCTTCCCATGTGACCCTGCTTTTGTCACGTGGACACAGAATTGTAGCCATGGGGTATTTATAAAGATTTGTCTGTCTATGCTCCTTTCAAAGTAAAGTGTTTTGGAAAATAATTGTCGATAGGATGATGAGTGTGATTTTTCTTCTTTTCCAAATTATTTTTTTAAATACATTTTTATTGTTGAAAGTATTACATAGGTCCCCCCTTTCCCCCAAACTACTTTTTGTTATTTCATTGTTACCGTGAAAAGGAGTGCTTGGTGTGCTTAGTCCACACATTGGACTGTCCCAGGGCCCTCCTGAGGCCTCAAGAACCCTCTTCCCAAACCCTGTACTCAGGTGGGGGAAAGGGTACATCACTTTCCATAGAGAAGATAGTCACTGCTTCCGGGTCAACAGAGGACACAGGTGGGGGAGGGAGCCCAGGAGGGGGTGTGAGCAGGCCTGCAGGGCAGGTCTGTCCTCACCCAGGGCGGTGTTGATATAACAAGAGCTGCCTCAGGGCGCTGCGGGAGCCTGGGAAGAAGCACCAAGTCACACCCTGTGCCTCTGCAGGGAGGCCGCCTGTGGATTCCCCAGCCAGGTGCAGCTGAAGCTCCTGCTCAGGGGTCGGTAAGGAAAGAGGTACCGGGGAGCCATACCCCCACCAGCTCCAGCCCCGGTCCAGGACCCGCTCGGGAGAAGCTGGGGTAAGAGCTGTGCTTTATGGTCTGCACGAAGCCAGTGTCTTCTTTTTCTATAAAAACATCACTGTATTTATCAGAAAGGGCAGTATGAAAAGTTATTTCATTTTGGTGTCCAAAGGCAAAAATAGGGGAGCAGACTATGCCTTCTGGAGGGAGGGGAGATGTTTAGCTTCTAGTCAGTAAATCGTAAACATGTTTTGAGCACTAGCTTTATGGTTGAGCTAGACTGGTGAGAGTAAAAAACATACACATTTCTACCCTCATGGATCTTTCTGGCGATTGGACCAGACAGACAGTACAAGTAACCATAGAGGTTTGGTATTCTGGGGGCATATAGGAGGGGGCTTAGCTCACAGGGGGTGTTGGTGGTGGTCAGGAAAGGCATATGGAAGAAGCAGGTTTGTCCTCATCCAGGGCGGTGTTATCTGCGATAACATTGGGTTCCTTACACTGAGTCGAGAGGAGTGACAGGGTGAGCTGGGATGCTGGGGATATGGGATGGGAGGAAAGGATTGAGTTTCTAAATCCAGGGGGAAGCATAGACAAAGGTCCTGAGGTAGGAGGGGACGGGGGTGGGGGGCTGGGGGGAGAAAGTCCATGTGTCTGCAGAGCAGTGAGGAGCAATGAAGCCAGAGGGGAGGCAGAGGCCAGGTCAAGGGAGTTAGACTTTCTCCTGCGGGAAAATGGAACAATGGAAGGATTCGAACAGGAAGGATAGACTCAGTGTCTCCAAACAGTAGATACTCCACATGTTACAAAATGACGTGAGGAAAAGGGGCTGACTCTGGCCGTGAGACAGTTCTTCCAGAAGATTGGACTTTGGGGAAAACAATGTGGTTTGGCAGCAGTAGGGCAGTCTAGAGGGTCTTTGATGGAAATACAGTCTAGATAAATATCCTTATTCCATAGAGAGAACATACAGATTTATTTCATTTCTACTGACTGTACAGGGTTCTGCTGTATCAGTGTAATCATCTCCTTGTTGGTGGATATCTAGGTTAGATCCATTGATTATAATTATTATATACAATGTTATTAAAACTTCCTTGTGGAAATCTTGGGTCATGAATGTGGGGAATATAAAAATTTTAATTGAATTTATTGGGGTGACATTGGTTAATAAAATTGTATTGGTCTCAGGTGTACAATTTTATAATACATCATCTATATATTGTAATGTGTGTGCATCACCCCAATTTCTAGTTTTTAAATCAGGAGTAGTTCCTGTTGGATTTTTTTCCCTGTGGGTTTCATTTAGCTCAACAGAAAAGTTTTCATCATGAGGCTTTCACACATTTGCTACCTCCAGTATCTTTGTCTCCTGCAGACAAGGGGGTCAAGATGGCGTCTGTGTTTCGAAGTGAGGAGATGTGTTTGTCACAACTATTTCTCCAGGTAGAGGCTGCATATTGCTGTGTTGCAGAGCTTGGAGAGCTTGGATTGGTTCAGTTTAAAGATGTAAGTACTGCCCTAGCTGGTTTGGGCAGATAGAGTGTTGGGTGGATAGAGTGTTGGCCTGCAGACTGAAGGGTCCCGGGTTCGATTCTGGTCCAGGGCACATGCCCAGGTTGCAGGCTCGATCCCAGTGCAGCAGGCATCAGATCAATGATTTTCTCTCATCATTGATGTTTCTATCTCTTTCTCTCGCTCCCTCTCTGAAATCAATAAAAATTAAAACAACAATAGTAATATAAACAAACAAACAAAAGATGTAAGCACTGCATTCTTTGGAGGCCAGAGGAAGGTGGAGTGGGTGTTGACAACTCTTTCATGCCACTTCTTGGTACTGAACAAATTGTAGGAAGCAAAGCCCTGAGCTGGAATAGATGGCATTCCACGGTTTTAGTCCTCTGTCTAGGATTTGTGATAACATTGGGCAGGTGACTTGCTAACATGACCTCTCTTCTTCCACGTGTATTGTTTGATCTGAAAGTAATATAGACCAATGTACATTAAAAATAATAGACCCTACCTCTCTCTCCCTCTTTTTATATTTTTTTATTATGACTGTGTTTGGGCAGAAGGGATTCTCAACGTGTAAATTCACTTCAGCTTCCCTCTTTAGTGTTTTTATTATTATTATTATTTTTCTGTCCTGCAGTTAACGTGGGGATGCAGGGATGTTTTGGAGCTCTAATGCAATCACTACATGTTAGATGCATCATATTCTATTTTATGTGTAGCAACTTCAGAGCATTGGATATATCCAATTGCACGTGGATTACCAAACCTTGTTCCGAGGAGAATTCTTCCTGACTTGTCTGTCCCAGGACCAAGTATCCTGGAGTCTACAGTCTCCTAAAGTGACATCCCAGGACTACTGCCTGGAGTGTGATGTTGGGTATCAATTCCAAGAGGCCGTTTAGATCCTCCTCAAGCCATTTTGAATCCAATTTAGAACACTGGTTTCTACTCTTCTTTACGTCCTCACCAAGGTCAAGATCAATACTAAGCTCCTGCATGGAAGGATTGGCTTGTTTGCGTCCCTAGTCCCTAGCACATGAGCCGCTTCCTCACTAACATTTTTTTTTGGGGGGGCTGAGCTGAGGGTCACCAGCCCAAGGACTTGGAACTTTTTTGATGCCCACGATGCATTGTCTGGGGCTATGCAGTTTTCAAGGTCCAGTCGTATTCATGACTCCATTGAGGGTTTGAAGGCTCATTTGGATAATTGTTTCTAAAGTAAGGAAACCTTAACTGTGCGAGGACTTCGCTTCTCCTAGAAGGGTACGAAGGCCAGAGCTGAGGCACGTGGGGACTGAGTGTAGGAACATCAGGGTGTGTTTTGCCTGTAATATCTGTCTTGTGTGTGGAAATACCTATTTCTAAGACAATTTTAGTGACATGCTCCAGCATGTAAAGAATATAACAAAATAGCCAAAGGGAGTATGAAGGCATCTGTTGCTACTAGTGTGTGCCATGTGGTGTTTTCCCTTTTCTAGTTAAATGTGGATGTGAACAGCTTCCAAAGGAAATTTGTGAATGAAGTCAGAAGGTGTGAGTCAATGGAGAGGATCCTCCGTAAGCCAATTTTCTGCCTACTATTTAGCTGAACTGGCGGGGAGGTAAATGGCGTGCAGGTCTTGATTAACAAACGTTTCCCTATTTGTAGTACTTTTCCAGGTGATCTGGAGGCAGGGTGGGGGAGGTTAGAGATTGGATCCAGGTGCTTCGGGCAGGTCCCCGGGGCAATTCAGGTGACTGAGCTAGCCTACAGCCACTGTCCTGCTTGATCCCATTTCTTAGACATGAGAATATATAATCACCTGGGGCTCTCTGTTGGGGTTTCTTCACTCAGGTTTTCTGGAAGATGAGATAAAGAATGAGATTGAGGTTCAGTGGCTGGAGAAGTCCCCACCGACCCCGCTCCCTCGGGAAATGATTACTCTGGAGGTAGGTTCTCCCCTACTTGGCTGAGGACAGGCGGGAGCTCGGGGAGCCACTCATGGATCCATTACCCAGTTGCTGAAGGCGTGGGGTGGGTATATGTGGTTTCCCACGTATCAGTGTTATTTCCCCAGGAAAATTCCATTGTGCCATTTTTAGAGTCACTGTTCCTGATCCAGGAGAGAGCTTTCTTTCCCTCTCCCAGAGCAGCCCCACGGAATCTCACCCCACTTTGGAGAACGGTTTCCTTCGTGGGCAAACAATTCTTCTAGGCAGTGAAGTCTTAGCTATAGGGTGCCGCTGAACAGGCCTTCTGCTGCTTCCATGTCTTGGCCATTGAAAGAAATTCTGCAGTTTACGTGGGGATGCAGATATTTTTTCGAGATAATGACTTCATTTACTTTCAACCAATACCCAGAAGTGGAATTCCTCGATCCAGGGGGATATTTCCTCATTATCTGGTGGAAAACATTGAGTTCAGTCTGGGCTAAGGTCTCTCAGTCTGGCTTCTGAGATTGTGTGAGAGGATGGCAGTTTTCTTTAGTCTGGGATGTTATTTATGACTGGGGGGCCCTCCCTCTTTCTCCCCCGTCTCTGTCTGCTTCCTTTATAAAACACTGAGTCCCACCTGGCCTCCGTGGCTCAGTGGTTGAGCATTGACCTATGAACCAGGAAGTCATGGTTCAATTCCCGGTCAGGGCATATGCTGTATTCTCTCATCATAGATGTTTCTATCTCTCTCCCTCTCTTTTCCTCTCTCAAATTAATAAAGATATATATTTTTAAAAATACGCCCTCTAGGAGCTTCTAGTGCAGATGGTGGAGGGGGAAGCAGGGGGAAGGTGGTGGGTAGAAGATGTCAAAGGAGGGCAGAGCCAGATCATGGCGGACCCTGTTGAGAAAATAAAAAATAAAAAATGCAGTTTTGAATCCTCAGACCAGGGGTCCTCAAACTTTTTAAACAGGGGGCCAGTTCATTGTCCCTCAGACCGTTGGAGGGCCGGACTATAGTTTAAAAAAAAACTATGAACAAATTCCTATGCCCACTGCACATATCTTATTTTGAAGTAAAAAAACAAAACAGGAACAAATACAATATTTGTATTTGCATGTGGCCCGCGGGCCGTAGTGTGAGGACCCCTGCCTCAGAGGAAGGACTCACTAAGGGAGGCGGACAGGTAGGTTTCACAAGCTCATCTCTGGCTCGGTTTATCTTTATTTTCTTTGAAGATAACTTAAAAGTCTTGGCATTTTTGTAATCCCCAGTAGTATACATCTATATACTCTAACAGAGGTATGAGACTGGCAACTCCCCTAGAAAATATTTTAGATGTTGTCATTTTAAAATCTGGATATTTGGGGGAAAATAGCTTTTAACCAAAAAGCTATGAATAGGGTCTCCGTAAAATCATCTCCACTTTCAGTGCTTTCACTAGTCTCCTAAGACCAGCCCTGTTCATTAGCAGCCCCCCCCCCCCCG